ATTTCTAGATACAAGTCTACTTCATTAGTAGTAAAATGTAAATACTGTATCCTAATAAAAACCCCACTGCTAAACCACGTATAAGTTGGTGGTTCGTTTTTTTCTAGGTGCTAACAGTAAATGTGTTCACTTGTGGGCTTAAGCTGGCCATACGCTGGTAGATTTTCGTACAAATATTTATATGAAAAATCTTGTCGGGACATTCGATAATGCCATCAGAGACTTGTAGGACGTCATTCTAAATTTGAAAACTTGAAATGTACTGTGAAAGTAAAATATTTAGTCTGTTACTGTTAAGATCAAAATTAACTTATGTTCATTATAGTAAAGATAAAGTGAAGATTTTATTCATGCTTTCCTTCCAAGAAATTAATCTATCTTAAACAGCGCTTTAGAACTGGAGGCAGAGGCGGTCTCTGGTTGGATGAGGGTTGGTTCTGTGACATCACCGCCCCTCATCCAATCAGAGAATGGATAGTATTTACTGAGAAAAATACTAGACTTCCTCTGAATGGCGGCTATGCTCAGTGAGTGACTGGAATAAATGTCAGTCAAAGTACCGCAGCGCTGAATACTGAAAAATGGCCTGGATGGGAAGGGGGTTTAACACCGCGGATGTCAACTGGTTAAGAACATCTGGATGTCATTCAGTGTAGTGGCTGTTTTTGGACCTGGAAGATGTTATAGTACACTGTAGTAGCTGTGACTACTACAGTGCATTACAGGATCACCCTTGGCCCCCTTGGTGTATATCTATATGCTCCCTGGAGTGAACAATCTTGAGGGACACAGAGACCATCCAGTGACCTTTCTTCAAACAGTGTTGTGTTTATTTGTGCTATACACAGACTAAATACAATGCTGGACAGTGCTCAAATAAAATTAAAAAAACAACTCCAAAACAATAACCTAACCATGTCCTGGCACTAACTACACAGAAACACACTCCTAATTATCAACCTGAACAAACCTACAGTTTGTCAGGCACCCCATATCACGGTGACCAACCTTTAGGAACAGCAGATTCAGACTGTTTGCCACTCAGGCTCCAGAGCACTGTCTGTTTGCCTCACCTGCACTAAATTACCAATGCATTCCCGGAAGGTATAAAGGTGCTCATACACCTTACGATCGTCCAATTTTCATATGTGATCGCGTTTTCATCCGATATTTGTAAAGTTGATGGGCAGTGTACAACCGCAAATACTGTACAATTGATCAACTTTTGACTATCCAGCAGGTTGGAAAACTTTGGTTGATCGTATGATTTTCGCAAGGTTGGTGGCGTTTCCGTACGTCAAAATTCGTACGATTTCCACTGCTCATGCGCAAATGAAAATACGTGCGGTCGATTACCGCAATTCATCCAGGTGCCTTTTCTTAATTACTGCTGATTGAACCGTGCGATAATCGGGGCAGGATGGGGCCGCCGTGCGAAAATCGTAGACGGTTCGATCATCGGCCTAAAAGATTTGTCCGATTATCGCAAGGTGTATGGGCAGCTTAAGGAAGGAATCTGTGTGATATACTGTATATACCCGTTCATGCTGTTCCTGCCAAATTCTCACTCTGCCATCTGCATGATGCAACTGGAAACGTGATTCATCGGACCACATGACTTTTTTTCCAATGCATGACTGTCCAATCCTTGTGTTCCTGTGCCAATTGGAGAAGTTTTATCTTGTTAACTGCAGACAGCAAAGGTGTTCGAACAGGCCTTCGGCTTCCATATCCCATACGATGCGTTCAGAGATAATTTGAGAGGATCCCTGAATAAGATCTGCAGTAATTTGATGCACTGTTGACATTGTTTTGTCTTGTACCAGTCTTGCCACTCTCCGTTCTGCCCTAACATTGACTAGTTGCTGACGGCCACAATTCGCACGTTCAGACCCAGATTTTCGGCTGACAGTCCAGTCTTTAAATCTTTTAACAACAGCTGCTCTTGAACATTTAACGAATTCTACTGTTTTGCTGATACTCGCTCCATGGC